TTAAATGGCACCCTGATAAAAATCCAGAAAATAAAGAAGAAGCAGAGAGAAAATTCAAAGAAGTAGCTGCGGCATACGAGGTATTATCAAATGATGAAAAACGGGACATTTACGATAAATATGGCAAAGAAGGATTAAATGGAGGTGGAAGTCATTTGGATGATGAACGTCAGTATGGCTTCACATTCCATAAGCCAGATGATGTTTTTAAAGAAATTTTTCATGAAAGGGATCCATTTTCTTTTCACCTCTTTGAAGACTCGCTTGAGGACCTGTTAAATCATCCAAAAAGCTCCTATGGAAACAGAAACAGAGACGCAGGATCCTTTTTCTCTACCTCCAGTGAATGTCCAATTTTTGAGAAATTTTCTTCATATGATACAGGATATACATCACAGGGTTCACTGGGGCATGAAGGCCTTACTTCGTTCTCTTCCCTGGCTTTTGATGATAGTGGAATGGACAACTACATATCTATTACAACTTCAGACAAAATTGTTAATGGCAGAAATATTAATACAAAGAAAATTATTGAAAGTGATCAAGAAAGAGAAGCTGAAGATAATGGAGAGTTGACATTTTTTCTTGTAAATAGTGTGGCCGATGAAGAGGGCTTTGCAGAAGAATGCAGCTGGAGAAGACAGTCATTGAACAACTATTCACCAAAGTCTCACAGCTCCAAACATGTATCTCAACGTACTTTTGTGGACAATGATGAGGGAGGTATATCTTGGGTTACCAGCAACCGGGATCCCCCTACTTTCTCAGCAGGAGTCAAAGAGGGTGGTAAGAAGAAAAAAAAGAAGCGTAAAGAAGTGCGAAAGAAGTCTACCAAAAGGAATTGTTAAATTGACTCTTCAAACATAACATTTGAACACAATTGTGTGTGTTTTGGTTAATCACAAATTTTGTAGACAACACTTGTTTAATACTATACTAAGAGCTTTTCAACACTCTTAACAGGATTGTGGACATTTGGTTAGTAGTTGTTTGGATTGGGTATGTCAGAAAAGGATGAGTTTGTTGTGACAGTTGGTGCTATTAAGAATTTGCCTGGGTAATATAGTGAGATCTTGTCTCTACAAAAAATTTACAAATTAGCCAAGTGTGGTGGCACGCACCTTGTAGTCCCAGCTACTCGGGAAGCTGGTAGGACTGCTTGAGCCTAGGAGACATAGGTTGCAGTGTACTGAGATCACGCCACTGCACTCCAGCCTGGGTGACAAAGTGAGACCCTGTCTTAAAAAAAAAGGAATTTGGAAAACTGCAAAGAGTTTTTTACTTCAGAATTTTTCTTTAGTAGAGTGTATAGCCTATTTTATTTCTTTTCTCTAATTAAAACCACTATACACATTTCTGAAACATGCATAACATTAGGAGACAAGAAGGTATTAAGACACACAGGTTCAGACTATATAATTATTCATGAAATGACTTTTTTCCAATGGAGGTACAGCATTTGATGCATAACTTAAAGCTACTACAAATTAAAAATTAAAGTATAAAATATTTGAAGTTAAAAATAAACTTAGTTGGGTGCAGTGGCTCACACCTGTAATCCCAGCATCTTGGGAGGCCCAGGAAGGAGGGTTGCTTGAGGTCAGAATTTCACGACAGTCTGGGTAACATAAAGAGACCTGTCCTCTATGAAAAAAATTTTTAAAAACTTTAGCTGGGTGTGGTAGTGCGTGCCTGTAGTCCTAGCTACTCAGGAGGCTGAGGTGGGAGGATTGCTTGAGCCCAGGAGTTTGAGATTGTAGGGAGCTATGATATTGCCATTGCACTCCAGCTGACAGAGTGTGACCCTGTCTCTAAAGAAAAACAATAAAAAATTTAAAAAATTTAAAAATGGGTAACATTGTAAATTTTATGTAGTATATTTTACCACTCTTTTTTTAAGGCCAGTCTTACCCTGAACTCAGAGCAGTCTGTATGGTAGGCCATCACTGAATCACTCCAGATAGGAAACTTTCTATTTTTGTTCAGAGTTTGTACACAAAATCTACAAATACGTTACATTGAAATACCACGTATAGCCATTTTAATTTAGTCATGTTCGGAGAAAAACAGATGGGTTACAAATACATCAGATATCGAGCAAATCGTTTGAGTTACGTCTAGCAGCACTAAAACTTATTCACCTTTGGCCAAATACAAACACAAAATTGGAAAAAAAATGACAATATCTGCTATTTTTAAAAGACAGTTATAGTCAAGAGCTTGTGTTTTGTATCGGTATTTGATTTTTAGTGGGCAGATGGGAGAAGGAAAGGTTATTTATTCTACAGAAGAGACTGGGGACAATTCATATAAAAAGTTTATTTTCAGAAAATAAAATAATAAAAGGCCAGGGTATTTTAAATGCTTCTTATATAAGATGTGATATTTAGTAAAGTTTATCTGTTATCATGTATGTGGTAGTAAAGTTGAAAAAATTGCAATTTTCCAAAAACTAAAGCAAAAATCAGTGTCTCAGAAAATTTAAGAATGTAATGACATGCCCTGTAGTCCATTTCTTCACTCTTAACAGAAAACCAAAAATTTAGATTTAATCATCTTACTCAATAGCTTAAAATTCCTCAAAGTTTTCCCACCATCTAAAGGAAAAAGCTAATTGTTTCTTAACATAATATACAAGGCCCTCCATGAGCCAGCCACCAGCTTTTTCCCAACTTGATTTCCTATCAGCTCCTTGCACCCATCTTACGCTCTAGCTCAACTTTTTCCAAAATCTGTTCCAGGGATACCAGTTCAAGACTCATCACAGAAAAGGGGTCCATGGTCAAATACATTTTTACACATTTTGCAAATTACTGCTGAACACATCTCCTAGAAACCTAGACTATTAAGGGCTGGGTGCAGTGGCTCACGTTTAAAATCTCAACACTCTGAGAGGCTGAGGTGGGAGGATCACTTGATCCTAGGAGTTCAAGTTTACCCTGGTCAACATGGCGAGACCCCATCTCCAAAAAAAAGATTTAAACTATTATGTACATTATGAAATGCAGCATTCCCCAAAAGTATTTGATCACAGAATCATTTTCGTGTAATGCCTACTATTTTGTCTAAGCACATATTTCAAAAAAGCTTTTCCTAAGTTGGGTGCGGTGGCTCACGCCTGTAATCCTAGCACTTTGGGAGGCCGAGGCCGGCGGATAATCCGAGGTCAGGAGTTTAAGACTAGTCTGGCCAACATGGTGAAACCCTGTCTCTACTAATAATACATAAATTAGCCAGGCATGGTGGCGGGCACCTGTAATCCCAGCTACTCGGGAGGCTGAGGCAGGAGAATCGCTTGAACTCCGGAGGTAGAGGTTGCAGTGAGCCAAGAGATCGCGCCATTGCACTCCGGCCTGGGCAAGAGTCAGACACTGTCTTTTAAAAAAAAAAAAAAAAAAAAGGCCGGGCGCGGTGGCTCAAGCCTGTAATCCCAGCACTTTGGGAGGCCGAGACGGGCAGATCACGAGGTCAGGAGATCGAGACCATCCTGGCTAACACAGTGAAACCCCGTCTCTACTTAAAAAAAAAAAAAACAAAAAAACTAGCCGGGCGAGGTGGGGGGCGCCTGTAGTGCCAGCTACTTGGGAGGCTGAGGCAGGAGAATGGCGTAAACCCGGGAGGCGGAACTTGCAGTGAGCTGAGATCCGGCCACTGCACTCCAGCCTGGGCGACAGAGCAAGACTCCATCTCAAAAAAAAAAAAAAAAGCCTTCTCCAGCCATACTACATGATTGCAATGCTTAGTGTTGGCCATTCCTTTTCAGAGTTCTGTGCCTTTACAAGCGTTCCTTCTGGTAGTACGGCTTTCAGTCATGTTGGTGACAGCCTTTCAAATAAAAGCAAATTCCAGGCCGGGCGCGGTGGCTCAGAGAGGAGGGTGGATCGCTTGAGGCCAGGAGTTCGAGATCCACTTGGCCAACATGGCAAAACCTGGTCTCTACTACAATTATGAAAATTAGCCGGGCGTGGTGGTACGTGCCTATAATCCCAGTTACCTCCGGAGGCTGAGGCACGAGAATTGCTTGACCCCAGGAGGCAAGAGGATGCAAATGAGTAGAGATTGCCACTGCACTCCAGTCTGAGCGACAGAATGAGGGCCTGTCTCAAAAAAAGACTGAACAATTGCACATCTTTCTTTTCACCTAATCCCACGGAAACTTACGTCTTTCTGTAGCTTTACTATGAGAACTGAAGAACAAGTTCTGTGCACTGGACAACAACTTTTTATTTTTTATAGTAAGAAGTCGATGTAATTAACATTCCATTTTAAATGAATTCAAGTGTATCAACATAAACATATGCCAAGACATAGCTTTGATGTCAAATACCATACGTGCTGGTTCACACGTTGTTTACATATTGGCCCAAAAAACTGAAATACAATCCAACGGCAGATCCGCCTGCAAGGAAGGTGATTCAGTTTTCACTGATTAAGCTTTATGTTCATCAGATTAATTGCTCGCAATAGAGGACACCCTACAAAAAATTATTCTCCTTAATCCTTCGTCTTGTCTTTGCAAACAGGACTTTCAGACACAGAATGCCCCAGGAGTATTTCCAAACAGTTACCTTTCCTAAGAAGAGCTGCTTAAATAATTTGTGTTACTAAGACACGCTTCGTGTATATTCTGGAGCAAGCTTTCATGCCTAACAGAAACAAGAGCTACTTGATGTGAGACACTTTGTCACTTATATCACTTATTTGTGATAATTGCCACAACTTCGGAGTCCGAGTAACTTGGAAGACAGCCCCTCTGGGGGATGGCACACTTTTTTCTCTGCAGTCATTTCGGCTTCACAGAATACCTGAACGGTAGAGAACACACTAGGACCACCCCTTTCCAGGAGCAGCCGGTATAGAAGAAATCCGCGGAGAGCACAGAGGGTTGGGGAGCGGAGGCCCCACCAGGAGAAGGGTCGGCCGAAACAGGGATCGCCTGAGACCAACTTGGGTCCCTCCAGGGGACACCATGGGAGGAGACCGTGGGAGGAGAGTCTAACCTGAGAAACTGCGGATGTTTGCTACAGCGGGAACCAGCTTGGGGGCTGAGAGCAGCCAAGGCATGACGGCCTAACTCACGCGTCGGGAAGAGAAAGAGGGTAACCGCCTGCAGCGCCGCGTCGCCAGGAAACCGGGCCAGCCCCCCCCCGCTTCCGGCAGGCGTCGCTCCCGGGCCTTCCTTGCGCGGCGGCGCAGGTGTGACGTCATGCCCCGAGGTGGGACCGCCTCTCCGGTTCCACACCCTTTTTTAGGTGGGGGTGTTGAGTTCTACTGGGTGCGCGCAGCCACACAGTGTGTTCTTGGACGTTACTCCCTGGAGGGGATGATATCTACCGCCTTGTTGAAGGCGCCCATTTCTGGGGTTGGCCCATCCAGGGAGCTAGTTCCTAGTTAAGAATATGAGAATGCATGCGCAGGGAGGCAGGCAACAGCACGAACAGCCACGCTTCTAGAAGGTTCTAGGGAGCGCGCAGGAGCAGCGCAGAGAGAGTAGGAATGAGCAGGCGGAGGACCCGGGGTCACGAGACCGTTGGGTGGGAGGAGCCAGCGGCCGGGGAGGTTCTGGTCTGTTCTGCCTCGCGGCAGCCGCCCCCTTCTCCGCGGTCACGCCGAGCCAGCGCCTGGGCCTGGAATAGGGCCGTAGTCCCCCAGCTTCGCCCACCACCTCTCTACCATGGACCCCCGCAAAGTGAACGAGCTTCGGGCCTTTGTGAAAATGTGTAAGCAGGACCCGAGCGTTCTGCACACCGAGGAAATGCGCTTCCTGAGAGAGTGGGTGGAGAGGTGAGACCCAGGCCTGAGGACCGTTGGGGGCGGGGAGAAGCACGGCCCCAAGGGGAGCCGGGCGGGAGCTGGCTCCGGCCGGCGGGCGAGGCGGGCTCGCAGTCCCTTCTTTGCCTGGGAAAGGGAGGCGACTTCGATGGGTCATGGAGGATCGCGAGCCCTGGGTAGTACAGGAGCTGCGGGGAGCCGGAGGCAGACCGGGTTCCTCGCACCCTGAGGTTGCCAGAGGTGTATCTTGGGCGAAATAAAAAAACAGGACTGCGGATACGTCGACACTGGAGACGCGAGGAGTGAGAACTGCAAGACTTAGCTTTTGCGTGGGGTGGTTTTTTCTTTCAGTCTCGTGTGCCCTGTTCAGGTCTCATTGGTATATAGCGGTTCCTTTACGCACTATCCCTTTACATTGTGTTATAATAATATAACACTAGTAAGTTAAAAGTTACAAAATTATTTAGTAAGTTAGAATAAAAATGATAACTGTAAAAATGATTGTCTTTACCTTACAGCGTTTCTAGCTGCGTAGGATTAATTATCTTGAGAATCACTTTTTATACCTCCGTTACTTGGCAGTGTTATCACTCCAAACACTTCTGAGAAAAATAATGTTTTAAGTCCTGGCGTGTTTCCAGGATGTATTCTTGTCTTTAACTGTAGAGTACTTCGCTACGTGCAAGGAGTTAATTGCCAAGGCATTGTGCCTGGTGCTAGGAAACAGTATAAGTACTATTTAGGGATACAGACGAATAAATACAAAAGTTCGTTTTGATATTTACTATATAGTAGTAATTAGCGTTTTACGTATTGAAGGAGCCCCGAAGAGAGAAAAAGTGAGAAGGAAGTCTTCCCTAAGATGACTTTTTAAAAAGTTACTACTAGTGGATAACTAAAAAGGTGACATACAAATTGCACTAAACAGGGATAAATAGCAACTATGCAGACCATTGCGACTCCTAAGAGGTGCTATTGTGAACATTATCTATTTAGTGATTTTTCTCTTTTAGAGACAGGGTTTGGCTGTATCATCCAGGCCGCATACAGTGGCGGGATCACTGCAGCCTCTGATTCCTGCGCACAGACGATCCTCCTGCCTCAGCCTCCCAGGTGGCTAGCAGTGCAGGATCGAGCTACCATACTTGGCTAATTTAATTTTTTTTTTTAGAGGTGGGGGTCACGTTAAGTTGCCCAGGCTTGTCTTGAATTCCTGGCCTCAAAGGACTCCCCTGCCTCCCAAAGTGGTGGTATTACAGGCGTCAGCCACTTCACCCAGCCTGATATTTTTATATGGGAAGATGAGCTCATGATTACCAAATAGCTCAAAGAATATTAACAGGCTGGTTCTAAGGAAAAAACTCGTTGCAATCTGTCAACGTTGTATATTTTTTTCCTCTTAAGTAGTTTTTCAATCTTTAACTCCCCACCAATTGTCTTAACTACTGAAAGACTTTTACTTATATGTGAAATTCTGAGACCATTTAATATTATTATGTTAATAGTAACTATGACTATTGGTAAGAAGTCTATTTTGCAAACTCCTCAACCGGGAAATGTCAGGATTAGGAATTGAGGGCTAGATTTTAGTCGTTATCTCTATTGAACAGCTTGATGATCCAAAAGCCTTTAAGATATTTGTATGCTTTTATCCTAATTATAGGAAAGAACCTGCAGTTAATAAATTCTTTCTAAAATTCCAGGTAAAGTAAACAAGTATCACAGGAAGAAATAGCTAGCTCCAAGAGCTGACTGCACTTTAAGTGGATACAATGTTTTTGTTCCATTCTTACTAGTGAGGAAGAGGAGGCACAGAAGGAAAAATTAACGCGTAAGAACAGTGTTCTCCTGACTTGTGTTGGAGTGATTGTGCTTATATAGAGAATTCCAGTTGAAGGTCTGCAAAATATTTATTTGTCAGGCACTACTATCTCCTCCCCACCCCCCCCCAAAAAAACAACAAATCGTCATATACTTTATTTTAACATAGATAATTCCAGTTTTTCTTTCTGATTCCACTTACATTCTTGTGGCATCCTGAGTCGGCTTAAGTATGGGGTGAAGCATCATGGCATACGTTAGGACTTTATTCTGAACTTAAATTGAGTTCTCTATTTAATATAGAAGTTTTTTCTCTTTATTTCTGTATTTAAACTAAGATTTTTATAAACTCTTGAGGCCTTTGAGTTTGTATCCGTTTCTCTCTCTGCTTTCATCAATCTGCAGTTCAAGATTATGGCTGATGGGGCTGAATACCGAGACTTCTAGGTCCAGACGTATTCCTAGGCCTGATCCTACTGTTAGGGTTACTCAAGTTGAAAGCATCTCAGTTTCTCACAGGCTTAGCTGTTGAAGAACAGTACATTTGCCTATTTGCTGTAATTGCTAGCATTGTTTATAGCTTAGTTTTATTTGATATAAGGATTTATTAGTTTAACAACCTTTTTTTTTTTTTTTTTTTTGAGACGGAGTCTCGCTCTGTCGCCCAGGCTGGAGTGCAGTGGCCCCGGATCTCAGCTCACTGCAAGCTCCGCCTCCCTGGGTTCACGCCATTCTCCTGCCTCAGCCTCCCGAGTAGCTGGGACTACAGGCGCCCGCCACCTCTCCTGGCTAGTTTTTTTGTATTTTTTTAGTAGAGACGGGGTTTCACCGTGTTAGCCAGGATGGTCTCGATCTCCTGACCTCGTGATCCGCCCGTCTCGGCCTCCCAAAGTCTGGGATTACAGGCTTGAGCCACCGCGCCCGGCCTAACAACCTTTTAAATTGCACAAAGAGAAGTACTAAAAGTCTGAACTAGTTGTCAGTGAGGATCCAGGAGACTGTTCTTTTCAAGAACTGTGTTTTGAGATGTTTTTGTTTTCCCCATTTTAGAGACAGAAGCATTCTCCCACTCTATTTTCTCCTGTTTAACAATTTAGTATCTTGTATGTGCTTTCATGGCTTTACTTGATGGTAATTAAGATCAAAGAGAGTGTCTTTGTATTCTACTCGGTAGCACAGTACGTGGCACATGGCTTTTCTAAATACCGTAAAGGAAATGAAGAGAATGCATTTCTACCCTCAATATAGAATTTAGAGTGTAGCAACCAATGTTTTTGTACATGTGTATAAATAGCTATAGCACAAAGCAGATTAGAAGGTTATCAAATTAAGAGAATTGTGAATGAAGTTTTGTGTGGTACTGTGTAAGAAAGGTCTCTACACTGGTCTTACTTGATTGTGTAACATAAAAGCCTGTAGTGGCAAAGTCCAAGTGGCAGTTCTTGGCCAGAAAGTAGCTTGTTGTGAGGCTTGGAAGCATTAATTGAAATTTCGTACCTCCCAGATGGTGTTTTCTTCCATTAGTTAACTAGAATTTAGGATGTGAGAAACTAAATCTAGCTTATGAGTAAATCCTCTTTTTTTTTTTTTTTAAGTTTTTATTTTTTTGCAACAATTTCTAGCTCAGAGAAAAATTGCAGGTATGGTACAAAGAAATTTTTTCTGAACTAGTTGAAAGTAAGCTGCCAACATTATGCCCCAACACCATTGAGTGTGTATTTCCTACAAAGTCTTTACAATACAGATATTAAACTTAGGAAACTAATACTGATGCATGCATGCTATCTAATCCTCAGATTTATGTGTTGCATTTAGTTGCCATGTCACCTAGTCTCCATTCTGATACAGTTCCTCAGTCTTTCCTTGAGTTTCATGATCTTGACAGTTTGAATATTATAGTCAAGTTATTTTGTAGACTTTCTCTAAATTTGGGTTTGTCTGGCCTTTCCTGAGTATTGGATTTAACTTAATACATTTCTTGGCAGGAATATCACTTCCCCAAGTTGGTGTACCGTAAGTTATACTATGTCTGGATGTCACCCTGAATACATTCCTGACACTGCATTTTGAAACTTAGGAAGAACATAGTGTAGGAAACCTTGTGTCTTCGTTAAAATTTAACTACAAAGGATTGGTGATTACCGTGCTCTTTCGCAAAGTAGTATCTCCATAGAAAAGAATTTTGTGGTGTCTGTATGCCTGTTCCTTATCATTAAATCATTTTACTTTGCTGAACTGCAGATTAGGATGTTTTGGATCATATAATCTTTATTGTTGACATGGGAGCTATTCCATATTAAGGGTACTGAGTAACATTTTTTTCTATCATATTAAGCATGATGGAAAAAGTAGGCACATTTTGTTTGAATGGTGCTTATAAGAAGGTCCAAATTCTGTTTCTTTTCGTTCCATTTGCTACTTTGCATTTATACTTTTGCTTCATATTGGGATCCTCAGATGATACTAAAAGAGTGAAAAGGCAAGCCACATGGTAGGAGAAAATATTTGCAACACATAAAGCTGACAAGGAGTTCATATGCGGAATATACAAACG